ACAAAAAGTATCAAATCAGATTCAAATGATAATTTATCATACCTAAAATTTGTAGGAATATTGACTAAGCCATGCAGAATTTTTTTTCAAAGTGCGTTAATATGGTCGATATTAACGCACTTTGAAAAAAAAATTATTTTTTCAAAGTGCGTTAACCTGGTCCCAAAATTTAACGCACTTTGAAAAATTTTTTCAAAGTGCGTAATTTTTTCAAAGTGCGTTGCCACAGTGCACCCATGTCATACAGTGCATGTGTGTATAGTGTACGTATATACATTATGTACATAGGTGTCTTTGATATATGTAAATGAAATACTTTTTTTTAAATAAAAGGTCCATATAAACCCAGATTAGTCTATAATAGATATTATTCACTTTATTCCCTTGGCATATGAAACTACAAACTAGGGTGCATCAGCCTGTGTTTGTGTGTGATGAGTAATTTTGAGTGCACGTTTATGTACACTTGCGTGATTCGAAATACCTTAAACTGTACGGGGTTGCAAATGTGGTTATAACTTTTGTAACTTTGAAGTGTTTTCAAAAATATATAATGCTCTTAAAAGCTTATAAAATTGCCGTTCTTTCAGAACTAAATATGACATGTATCAACCAAAAACGCCGCTATTACAGCGATTGGAAATGTCAAACTACGTTTTCTACAAGGGTATTTCTTCGACAAGGATGTAGCGAGTTCATTAATTAAGTTGTTAATTAACTAATTAATGCATGGTATTTATGATTTTATTTCTTGGAATTATTTATATGTACCTTGTTGATGCTGACTGCGTTGTCGTCACAGTCGTGTGAAGATGTGGTATAAAGTACAGCGATAAGGTAAAGTCCAGAGGGTTGGAAACCCGCAGTGATTCGGAATACCCTAAATGACTGTAGTCTTAAGTCTGAAGTTTCGAAGCCGTTATAATTTCCTCGATAGTATCTAACTCTGCAAGATGAAAAAGACACCACCTTGCAAAATGATAGCGTTTATTTTTCAAGTGCATTTTGAAATGAATATTGTCAATGCACGAGCGACGATACATAAAAAATAAATTTGGAATGACACAGCCTTATATAATGAGTATACAATTTCTTTAAAAAAAGGTATGAATTGTATAAAAACAAGATTGATAAAATATGGAGATAACAGTTTACATAGCGGGTTCCAGAAAATGTTCTACCAAGCTTCTTCCTTTAAAACTCACTAAAAAATTAACGGTAGTGAATTAGAAACTTCAGGAATACTGACATCAGTGACAACTGCTTTTTCAATAAAAATGGAACTCGTAAAGAACAAGGTATGGTTTCCATACAAATCTTGCCCTGTGATTTTCTAAAAAATGAAACTGGTGTAGAAGATGGAAATTCATGCTTTCTGATTTATATAAATTCCATGCAGAAAAATCGTACAAATCATTCTTCTCATGTGTGTTTGTAAATGCTAATTATGACGTCATAAACATGTGCATTTTTCCGAATTTTCTTAAAAAGTTGCAGAAGACACCAATTTGCAATGGAATTTTCTTTCAGATTATATTATCCACAGGCATCGCCCACAAAGATTTTCAAATATGTCATCATTTATTGACTTTTGCACAACATATCAAAAAATAATAGTGGGCGACTGCTGTGGACACTATTTTCTAAAGGAAAATTTCTCTTGAAATGGGCCATTTTGAGGTTTTTCTGTTCAAAATAGAGAAATGCATCACATTAATGACGTCATATTTGCAGAATGGTAACCCTGCAGGCCATGTTCTTTCCTAATGTATCACAGTCATATAATTAACTAATATTTAAGCCAGTTTCAAAACTTGTTGATGACATTACTTTTTAGGGCACAATAAAGCTGAAACCGTACCTTTTTTTCTTTTCTAACCTTGTCGTAGGTCATTTGCCAAATTATTTTTTAAAAAACATTCTGATTGTACACACAAGTACTCTGAGGTTGATATGAAAAAGATGTTTGAGTTTCTGATCTACAATATCTATGTGGATTTTGGTGACCAGGTTTTCCAAAAATCTATTGGAATTCTAATAGATACCAATTGCGCCCCCTTATAAGCAGTCCTATTTCTGTATTCATATGAAGCAGATTTCAGTGAAAAGAAGAAAACACTGACATCTGTGTTCATAAACTCGATATATAGATATATCGAAGATGTATTGCCAATCAACAATGGTTATTTACTTTACCTTCTTATGTAGATCAGATATTTCCCAGTGAGCTTGAAATAAAACATAAGACAGAATCTGACAAATCTGTTTTCATATTTAGATATTTTATTTGAAAAAGAGTTTCATGGTAATCTAACAACCGATTTTTCTTATAAACGTGATGATTTTAACTTTACGATCATCAACTCCCTTACTCATGTAGCAATATCCATCTCCTATATACGGGGTTTATATCTTTCAATTGATTCGATACGAGATAGCGTGCTCTACGAAGGAACGATTCCTAAAACAAGGTAAACTACTGACAAACAAGTTGATGAAACATGAATATCAGAAGTCTGGTTTAAAGTCATCTTTTTGTTAGTTCCTGATCGATACAATGTCCTTGTCAGCAAATACAATTTATCATAAAGTCATATGCTGACTGATGTTTTTCAAAGTACATGTAATTGTAAGATCATCGTACTGAATTTTCGACGGATTTTTTTCGTTACTTCCAATTCTGACAAGGAGCACACGGTGGGAATGACCGATCAGCAGGGGATGCTCACTCTTTTTCATGGCACCTGATTCCACCTGTTTCGAAGGCCCATGTTTGGTTTGCTCCAATTTTGTATTGTTTAAAGATCTTTTCAACATGAATACTGTTCGTTAGCTCCATATATTTCATGATATGAATAGTGGTTTCTCATCAAGATAATAATGATTCAAAACATAAATAAATTGTCATCACAATTTCTGACCGTTTATTGGTGCATTCCATTGATCATCTTAGCTTGCAAACAATCAAGTTTGTTTTTAAAATTCAATACAATTTTTAAGGAAAGATCAAATTTATCTGGATAGCTGTTTACGACCCAATTTTTGATCTTTGTATTTTTCTGAATGTCTTTTTTTCATTTTTGGATGCCTGTTTCATATTATATTTACAGCTGTAAAGTTAAATATTTAACTCTGAAATTTAATATTATGCAATAACATTTTATTCTTTACAAGTTACTTTCCGTTGTCAACGTAAAATTAGCTTCCTCTACAGGAAAGTCCGGTACTCCGACATCAATTCTGAGTTTAGTATAGTACGTATAAATATGAGAAGATATGAGTTGGTAAGGAACATTTCTCAATCCATCGGTCTTTAACCTTGTTTTCCACGTATTAAGAACTTCAAATCTAAAAATTTTAAGATAAAAATATTTTTTCACAATATATTTCACATAAACTATAAAACTATTAATATTTTTTATTTACCTTAGTTTATGAAGAGACGAGTAAAACGATGATTTGAATTACCTTTTCGTCCAATGTTCCCGTTTCTTGTGACGGATCGTTGTATATCTAGCAATAGAATCTGGAGGTCTTATTAAACGGAACCTTGAATGACGTATTCTGTAAGTAAAATTGTCACGCTTATTATCTATACATGCTTAATCATAAGTTTTACAGGAACATATTAAATATATACAAATATAACAGAACGCACGAGTTTCAACTCATAAAAAGCAACCAATCCTCAGGACAAGTTAAAGTCTATCTAACACTGACATTTTTTTTTTCACTGAAATGAGACTCGTTAATTAACTACATGTAACCTTATTTTGCTAAAAGCATTCGAATAGTAAAAAAAAATTCCTTTCTCGATTTCAAATCTTCATCTGTCCAAAATTAAATGGGTATCATGTGCACCAGATATAAGCAGATTTGAATAGATTTGCGTGTTCATACGAAAAAAAAAAGTTCAAAATCTGCAGGAAGAACGAAGTATCTTGATGCGGATCAACTCCTTACTTCCTTAGAAATAACATGGCAGTGTTAAAGACTTTTAACTTTTTCAGTCAAGCAAGGTGCGTTCTATCTACCCAACTTATACTGGACGCCTGTACCTCTGAAAAATCCTTACAAAAAATACATTGAAGGGTCCAGCGACAGCCCTATCAAGCCCAATCCTGTTTAGGAAATTTACATACTTAGAACATACTCCTACCTATCAAATTATCCGAGAGACAAAAAAAAAACTGTATGCAAAGTTAGAAGTCTTTACGCTTATCAAAAAGCTTGGTTGTTAGATTACCATTAACGTCTTTTTCAATTAAAATATCTCAAAATGAAACAGATGTGTCAGACTCTCTGGCATCAATTATATCAAGCTCACCGGGATATATCGTATCGACATAAGAATGGAAATACCATTGTTTATTGACAATACGTCGTCGATATATCTAAATGTCGAGTTGAAGGCCACCACAAGTGTTTTCTTCTTTTCACGCATACAGTTCTGAACAAATTCTGTTTCATATAAATTTAAAATAGGTCTGCTAATAACGGGGCGCAATTGGTACCCATGGGAATTCCAATAGATTGTTGGAAGGCTTGATCTTCAAAAACCACATAGATATTGTCAATCAGAAACTTAAGCATCTTTTTGATGTCAACCTAGTACTTTTGTGTACAATTAAAATGTTTTTCTTTTAAAATTCTTTTCATATTAAAACAAAAATAGATCTGTGTTAAAAAATAGAACGGGGTGCAATGTGCCCATGGAAATTCTAAAAGATTGTTGGAAAACCGGGTCTCCCCCCCCCCCCCCAAAAAAAAAAAAACAAAACAAAGATCTTGTCAATCATAAACTCAAGCATCATTTTGATAACTTCACAGTTATTGTGTGTACATTCAGAATGTGTTTTAACAAAATAATTTTTGCAAATGACCAATGATAATGTCAGTAAATTTACGAGTTCCATTTTTATTGAAAAAACAGCCGTCAATGATACAAACAGCCTGGACTTTGATTTATCGTGGGGAATTGTTGTGTTTAATGTTGAAAAGTCGAGTTTTTATGCTGTTGATTTTTGTAAAATCTTGTGATTTAAAATTGCCCAGGGGTTCCTTGGAATTTTTCGTATCCACATCGGATTTAAACCACTTCTCGAATATATTGTTGCACAGTACTCTTGAAGATTTTCTTTCACTTATGTTAATATCTAAATGAGGAGTAGAGAAAGAGGCTTGGTAGAACATTTACTGGAACTTACTATGTATCTTTGTTTGTTGGGATTTTATGATGCTTTGGTATCCAAAATAAATAAAGTAATTCAAATTCATTTTGGTTCTTTGGAATATTAAAAATAATCAAAATTGACATACGATTTTGCAGAATGTTCTCCTAAGAAAGGGAGCTATGAGGATAAGATGGATTATATATTGTAAAGTACATATTCTTAAGATAAAGGTCTTCAAAATAACATTGCAGAGTTTTAGACGTTTCACTTTTTAGTCAACCAAGGTGAGTTCGATCTGCCCAATTTATATTTGATTTCTTACAAAAAGATACATTGCAGGGTCCATCAATTGCTCTATCATATCCCTTTCTTGTCTTTTTACGAACGAAAATTAATTGCTTATTATGGAAGATAAATGATAAAAATTTAACATCATCGAAAACTGCTTCTTCCAAAATTTAAATGGAAGTCGACATTTTCTGTAGTATTATGTGATTTCAGGGCATCAACAACATTACTTTTTTAGAAATCTGTCTGATTCTGGTTTTGTATATAAAATTACTGTGAAGTTAAAATGTTGGATCTTTGCACTAACAATTTTTAAATTTTCTCAGTATAATGATTTACTTAACCTGTAGAAGTACTTGGTAAAAAATGGCCACTCTCCGATTCCTTGCAATGGTTTAATACTTCGCGTATTTGTATGTTATAATGATTTAGGACGTCTTAGTTTAGGATACTCTTAAGGTAGCTTTGAAAAACACCATCAGATTTTCTATGAACAATCTAAAGAATGTTTTTTGTAAACATGCAGGCAGTTCTCCGACAATTGTTTGAAATTCCGATTTGCATTTATTGTGCTTATTTATTAGCCGACGTGTTTTTACATTCCTGTACAGAAAAAAATACTCAGAAAACTCTTAAAAAAATACCTACCAATTCCTTCAACTATAAATTTAATTATATGCAGCTAAGTATTTTATTTAGCAATCATTATATCCATTCATATGTTGACTCCATATATCCAAGTGAACTTTAAATGAAAAATATATAAAAGAACGTGCCATATCAGGTAATATTTAGATGTTTCTCTAGAAATTAATGATAAGGATCAACTTTCAACTAAATTGTATGATAAATGAGAATATTTCAGCTTTTCTTTTCCCACCTTTATATATGTAGTAATACTTCACTTCTACCTACATACTCATAGTAATTGCATCTTAAACCTATTTGATACCCAATGGCATGATACGAGTAAGATCAAATTATAGACCAAGGCAGGCTTCTGACAGATAAGTTGATGTTTCAGGGATATCAGCAATTTCGTTTAATGTCAGCATTTCGTAAAATCTAGGGTCGTTGTAATGACCTTGTAAGCAAAACAAAATTACTCAGATACCTTTTGTCTGACAAGTTTCATAATAATTATTTTGCCTTTACAGTATACGCCTTTATTTTCTATACTTACTTGTGGACTTTTGCAAGAAAAGCCGACTTTTACAACCGACGGTTTACTTTTACACCAGAAAAAAATAACGGAAACTCTTTTGTGATTTAAATATTTAGCAGAACAGTTACGTATACAATAATAATGGTCCATATTACTTTATCTAGGTAGGAAGAACAATCCTGCCCTAAACTCTGATGAGATGTAATTTTAATTCTCATTCTGGCATATCATGTTTTATGTTTCATATACTTTGCTAAATGGGAACGCCAGAATAGTAATGTATAAATCATCACAAATTAACACTTTTTAATGAATATTTTTATGCCCAATAAAAAAAAACTATAAGACTTCTTACCTATTGTACATATCGTCGTCTTCCCCTCCCCAGCCCCAGAACATGTTGGAATATCCGTTAACTTTACGGAATGTTTCTGGTCTGAATCCCAACACTCCACCCACTAACCAGCTGTACATCAACCTGTATTTCAAATCAATAGATTTTTCCAATATTATGAATAGGAGCAGTCTAAAACTTTTAATACGATAGTGCTTGAAGACGATCTAGACAATTAAAAAATACATATATTAAAAACTATGTACATAAAGGAAAATAGAGCAATATAAGTCTATTCGTTCAACACACCTTTAACATATAAACGAAGAAGAAATTAAGTTATATATTAATGATTTAATTTTAGTTGTAACCCGGCATTTGATTGGTTAAACGGTTTTATCCATTTTGTATAACATAACTTGCCTACGTCACAATGAGTTATGTCAAAAACGTATTACTCCGCTTGACGTTAACTTTAAAATATGCAATATTTGAACCTTTTTTTTTCGAAGGAAAAAATGGAAAAATTGTCTCATTGTCTACATTGAAATTAAATTATAAGGAATGAAGCTTATTTCAACTTATGTTATACGATATAACAAAACCTGGGACAGTTTACGCTTTTAAATAAACCGCTTCCCGGTTTATAAAGCGTAAACTGCCCCAAGTTATGTTATATCGAATAACAAAAGTTGAAATAAGCTTCATCCCTTAAAAAATGTGAACATCATTTGTTGATTTACAAAGGAGAAACAGAGCATAAAATTCTTCATAATGTAAACAAGGCTCTTGCCTTGTTTTTGTTAACATGTAGAAAATATTATATTAACTACACGAGATTCAGCAAATCACTAGAAAGTGTCCTATCGTATTTAGAATTAATTATTTATTGAAAAAATATGCTTTGAACGATCATATATTAGTATGTTTAACCTTTGTTAACAAAAACATGGCACAGACCCTTTTTACATTTTACAAAGGTTTGGGGCTCTAAATCTTTTTTGTATATCTACAACTGCAATTCAATTTTTTTATGATCATTAGAAATATCTTGCTTAAATATTAGTAAAAATTTTTAAAAAGGTGAAAATTATATTGAAAAATTTTCGCTGAAACTGTGTTCATGTCAATTTAAGTATATTGAATACATGTAAATTCAAAACATATGCTGAAATATTAAAAAAACCAACAACGACAAAAAAACAAGTATTGTTTTAGAAGCACCGATGCCTCCATAGACAGCTTATGATGAAGAAAGAAGTCTCTCACAAAAAAGTCAAAATCCAAGGTCAAAAGGTTAAAAATGTTGGTATCAAGAGAAAAGTCTTTTCACAAGGAATACACATGTGAAATTTTGAAAGCCCTAGGACATAATATTCAAACTTTATAGTCAAGGTTAAAGATTTTTTTTAAAAGTGCGTCAAACTTAAAAGTCCAGGTCAAAGGCTAATGATATTTATCATTGACAGCTGCTTTTTCAATAAAAATGTAACTCGTAAATTTACTTACTTGGTCATTTGCAAAATTATTTTGTTAAAACACATTCTGATTGCACAAACAAGTACTCTGAAGTTGACATCAAAAAGATGTTTGAATTTCTGATTGACAATATCTTTGTGGTTTTGGGAGACCAGGTCTTCCAAAAAATCTATTGGAATCCCAATGGGTACCAATTTTGCTCAGTTATTAGCAGACCCATTTTGTATTCATATGAAGCAGAATTTGTGCAAAATCTTACGCGTGAAAAGAAAACTCTTGCTGTGGCCTTCGACTCTACGTTTTGTCATTTAACAATGGTAATTTCCATTGCTATGTCGATACGATATATCCTGTTAAGCTTGAGATAAAAGATACCACAGAGACTGAAAAATGTATTTCAGAATTGGATATTTTACTTGAAAAAAACGTTAATGGTATTCTAACAACCAAGCTAAATGATAAACGTGATGACTTTAACTTCTCTATCGTCAACTTTCCTTACTTATGCAGCAATTTACCTTTATCACCTGCATACGGCGTTTATATATCTCAGTTGATTCGATACGCAAGAGCATGATCTACAAAGTAATTTATTGACAAAGACGTTGAAGAAACAGGAACATCAGCAATCTCGTTTAAAGTCATCATTTCGTAAGTTTTTTGGTCTATACAATGAACTTGTCAGAAAAATACAAAATTACTATGAAATCACAAATTTTCGTGGGGGTTTAATTTTTGTTGTTTTCGTGGTATAAAGGGACCCACGAATTCAAGTGCATCACAAAATGTAAAATGTTACATACAAAACTACTTAACAATTATTCATCCACGAATTCAAATACCCACGAACCAAGGGTTTTTACTCCAACCACGAAAATCTTACCCAACGAAAATATGTGATTTTACAGTATCATTGAGTTAAATGCTGACGTTTTTCATACTTATTATTGGTCTATTATTTATATACTGAATTGACGACGGTTTTCCGTTATTTCCCAATCATGACAAGGAGAACACGGCGGTTGTGACAGGTCAGCAGGGGATGCTCACTCCTCCATGGCACCTGATCCCACCTCTGATGTTTTAGGGGTTCGGGTTTGCTCTGTACCTACTTAGTATTGTTTTTTTTTAATCTTGATTTTGAATACTGTTCGTTATCTCCATATCCTTCATACGTAATGTACAAAAGCCATAACTCCAAAGTCAAAAGTTATTGGCACAGTTAAAGTTTTTGTCGACATCAGCTACCCAGACAGACAAACAGATAGACGAAAGACGAACAGAGCTAAAACCAAATCTTCGATTACGGGGCATTACAAAATAACATAGTACTGACATTAGTGCTTATTGACATAAAACAACAGAACAAAAAAATCATAAATATAACGTCCTTTACATGCAGTGACAACACGTTTGTATTGGATTGTAAAGTGAAGAACAGTTTAAAATACATTTCAGAAAATAATTATGCTTCCTCTCATTGGATTTTAATAATGGAGTAAAAGGCTTAGTGTGAATGGAAGAAAATATCATATTTCAGTAACATTTTCCTTCATGGTATCGTTTTCATTTTCTTAAACCCCGTACGTTTCTGAATAATGAGGTCTCCAGAATTCATCGTTTTTTTAAATTTTATTTTTATTTCAAGGTCTTGTTAGTTGTACTGATTTTTAATATGCCCATGTAATGTGGATTTAGGATTGGAGAAGGTTTGACTCTGAAGTATTTTTGATGAATGTATAGCATTTACATATGAAAAAATCTTTTCCTTATCAAATTTTTTTAAAAATAGTACTTGGTCCTATAATATTGTTTTTAAAGCTATTTTGGTAAATGATTACTTCATTGCACTTTTTGCAATTTGATATCTTGTACATTTCTAGTCTTCCAGATTCCAACAGTCAGGGGAAAAGAACGATAATTTTGTTAATAGTTACATTCGCTAGAAATCCTCTTAAATTATTATCATAAAATTATTGCGTAATACGTGTATATCCGTTGTTATACTTCATTGGAATCATAAGACTGAAATATTGACAAAAAAGAAACTCAACAATCAAGTCTCTTACTTGTAACGATCTTCGTCGATAGCCACCGACAGATGGCGTGGTTGGTCACCACAATAATACAGATTTCTTTCATTTTCTGGAATTAGGTCGACGTCATGGAAGAAAACACAATTAAAGTCAAACATTCTTCCTGCTTCGAGAAAACCTGCATTCATAAGTCTTCCTTTATTAAATGTTGTATTCCCAATCTAAAATATAATACTGCGTAAATGAAAATTTGTTTTTCTCAAAGGCCAAGATAGGAGAAGACCCATTTTACGCCCCTGGTTTGCGATGTCTTTAGAATGATGCAACAATTTATCAATAGAAAATCACTTGTCACCCTGCCACGAAATAGGTATTGGTTCTAAGGTTTTGAATACATAGAAATCAGAGGACGATCAGAAAATGTATTAATTTCCGAATTTTCTAATTTATTATGCAAATTTTCATCGATTTTATGGCACATTTTGTTTCCAAAAACATAGAACACAGGCTTGCCTATCTACCAAATTTTTATATTTTATACACTAATATCAAATGCATTTTGTGTATAATGATCATATAAGCAAACTTGTGCAGTGAAAAGTATCTCAAAATTGACAAAATTCCACCCGCATTGAGAAAATTCGTGAAAATGAGCATCTTTCGCACCCCCTATGACCCCTGCTCTTTAAATTAAAATAAGTGCTGGTTTTGAAAACAAGCATGATTTTAAGTTTTTAACTTCACACTATTACAATTTAACTTCGTTTGGATGTTTACATCAAACAAGGGGCTGTATTCAAACTTTGTCCTTTATTGAAGGATTCTTGAATGAGATACCTTAAAGAAATAAATTAGATCACTTCACCTGTTCAACAATATTAGATAAAACATACATTCATAAGTCTTCCTTTATTAAATGTAGTATTTCCAATCTAAAATATAATACTGTATTACTGAAAAAAAAAAATTGAATTTTATTGAAGAGGACTTGCATGAGGTACCATTTAAATATAAAAAAAAATTACTTGTACCTGTTCAATCACAAAAATTCTAAATTCTGTTTGTTGAACCATTAGAATGGGGATAAGATTCTTAAGAAGAATGCAAAGATGTTCCTCTCTATCTCTAAAAGGTATGATGATTGCAACACGATGTGTCGGTCTACAGTCTGTTGGTTTCCAACGTCCGCCGACCATTCCCATGTTTCTCGCAGAAGTAAGCGAAGCAGAGGTGCAGTTCTGTATATCACCGCTAAGCGAAGGACCTTGTATTGTATGAGTAATTGATTTCGATGAGTTTGTTGTTTTTGGACAATTGACATGCTTGCACTTCGTTTTCTTGCAATACCTCTTATTACATAATTCTAAAATGTTATATTCAACATGCAGGCTCAAAGTCTGGCAATCCGCCAGCACACAAGGACTTACGTCCACTGTCCTATTGCCCTCTGAAAAAAACATGAGTTTTATTATCTACCAAAGCACATGATATGCAAGAGAACATTTTGTCTGCGTATGAATTATCAAATTATCTTATTTGTTTATTTATAATTCTTTTTTTTTTTTTTTTTACAAATGTTAATATTTTAGAGTGTTTGTGGTTGTTTATAAAATTAATGATATTGAATTTTTCTCCTCGGTTTGAGATTATCTTATAGGATCTTGCGGAAGCACATTCTTTTGATGCGCTTGAAGATATGCACAGAGAGAGAGAGAGAGAGAGAGAGAGAGAGAGAGAGAGAGAGAGAGAGAGAGAGAGAGAGAGAGAGAGATATTCATACTTATCTCTGAAGTTAATGTTGAAATCAAACATGATTTCGTGACATCAATCTCCATATAAAATTTTCCTTTTGTTTGTCTTATTTTCAATAATCCATTAGTCAGATCTTTATAATAAATTTTCCATTTGCAAGCAGATATAAGACGATTGCTGGTAGGTACACAGTATTTTTTCACAGACACTTTCACAATCAGAAGCATATATATCCCACAGAAAACCAGTAATACCAAAAAGACTGAAAGAATAAAAAATCTCTTTAGAAGCTTCATCATTTCAATAAACACTGAAATTGTTTTGCATTAAAATCTTTCCTTTTTGTAAAAAAAAAATTTGAAATCCTATTTAAATCCTTGCTATCCATTTCATAACACACTAGAGTTTCCTTTAAACACACGATTTTAAGCATGCAAGGTAAATTGAAGGCATGTGTAATTGGACATTTAACGATGTTATCCAAGAATCAATTGGGGCGTTTTTCATGTGGATGGATTTTTTTTTTCTTGTCATGTTTTGTATTTATTAACTAATTTTTATTCTGTTAAAATACATAATACCATTTGTTCAATTAGAATTTGTGCAAATATTATACATGTATAATGTTTGCAATTTTATCATTTTGAAGATAAACATTTTCTTTCCGGCATCAAACTGTAATTTTACGGAACATGCATAAAGGTAAAATTACATTCGAGGAATACGGTTAGTTTTAGCCCTGCTTATCTAAAAGAATTAATCTTAAAATCTATTCAATTGCTCCACTCAAATTAATATCCTACGATCTTATGTTGAAAATATAAATACTCAATGATGTTATGCTATTGTTGGCTTTGATTCTATTTGATAATAGATTACACTATTGGTATTTACTGATTCCTGCTGATAACAAAACGTACGATGTAACAGCATCGTCTTTAATTGTTAGTAAGGCTTGTTATTTAAATTGTATTTTAGAGGAATTTGGATTTCATTCCACAACTTGTAACCCAACTTCAAAATTATTTTGTCAAAAAACTTTTTGTTTACACAAGGTCAAGCACACTCTGAAGATGATATAGAGAAGATGCTTGAGTTTCTGATTGACAATACCTTTTTGCTTTTGGAGACGCTTCCCAAAAATATACTGAAACGCAAAAGAAACGCAACAAGCAGTAATCTACAAATGTTTGAATTTTTTATCTAATGATTTTCAAAAAAGAATACACTAAGGCTAAACTCACTTTTCAGAACATCAGGGATTTGAAAAAAATGTTAAATGTTTCTTTTTTAACTTTACTAAGTAACATATGACTGATAAAACACCCCCTCCCAGCCATTCAATTACAACGTGCAAGACTGCCCTAAACAACAATTGCAGCTTAATTTCTACGATACAGTAGGTTAATCAATATCGAAATCTGAGCGAAGGATTTATTCTTTGCCATTTTTAAATGCCTATTTTTCAGATGATTAGGTCGATTTTTCTCTAACTTAGCGCATTGTGGTAACCCTTGGACTTCCTGTCCAAGTACTATCATTTATGAATATGATACGTAAGACCCCGTTGAGGCGTAATGTAGTGTATTTTTGCATCATCAACTCTCCATCACCTTTACATTGAGATTTTCCAACTAGAGCAAGGGAAATGCGCACTTAATCCATTTTCAAGAAGCCTTAGCATCGTTACAGGAAACGAAAAGGGATTTTATTTTTTGAAATATTGCTGCATTACTTAAGGTGATCAGTACAAATCCTTAAAACACCATAATATTGCCAAATGTTTTGTTAAAAATGCAATTTTTGATTTCTGTTAAGCAGACTCAAACTTGAAAATCGTTCAACCGTCAATTTATCGATATTTACCAAATTGAAGATATCCATAACTTTAAGATACAAAATTCTTTACTTTACATAATTATTTTCCCCTAGAGTAGGGTGTTGCGTTTCTTTTGCGTTTCAGTATATGTTGTATATACCATGTAAACGTTTTAACATACCTAATTTGTATTCATATGAAGCAAAATTTATTTAAAATCTGATATTTGGGAAGAAATCACTTAAAGAATACACTCAGATGCCTCGTTTTGTTTAAAGAAATCGCTTCGTTAATTCTATTGTAGATATAATTAACGCCCTTGTCAACATTATTATCACAGATTTTATTGATAATAATTTTTCTAGATCACTCACTGTTATTTCAACCGTTTTCAAAGGGTGAGCTTTAAGCGAATGTGATTTTATAAATATATTCATCTTTGCAGAGTAAAAATAATCTAGTAACACTCAGAATTGTTCTTAACCAAACGAGAATCATTCGTTTTTCAAACAATTGACAAATACTGAGAATCTGATAAACTCGTTATTTATTCTTGTTTGTATGGGGAGGGCCTGACTTAGCTTAAGAATTTTTGTATTTTAGCTCTTTTTTGTTTCTGCATCTGAAATTCTAGATTTTTTAATTGTATCAGGCTTCTGTTTAGGTACTTCGTTGACAAGTTGAAGGTATGTCATGACCTTTCTAAAGGTCAATTCACAATAGCCCATGTCTCTAGGCACCTTGGATCCCTTGATTCTGATATTTTCAAATTGTAATACAGTTTGCTACGTATAAATATGTGATTTGGTTCTTATTATTTTTCAGTTCGTAAGAATCAATGCCTTGCGTACTTACCACGTGGTGAAAATATGTTTAAGTAAAGCTTAAACCTCTCCGACTTAAGTTTACCAAAATTTTATCATGTCATTTCCATTGATATGATGTTGATCCAAATTAAATCTGTCATAGAAGTTTGCTAGGTGGACTTGTAATTCAAATAGTGATGTTTCGGGTGAACTTTGTTAAGACCGTTTTGTATCTAAATTACAGGTTACTGGTCAAAAACATACTTCATGCATGGATGGGTTTTGCGCATATGAATGAGGCAACTAAACACAACTTATCCGGTTTCTTAACGCTTAATTTTTGTAATTTATTCCTGTTTTGGCAAAAAGCAGTCTACTTAAATTTCACTAGACAGACTAATATTATATAACATTTTGTGAAAAATCAATCGTATGAATCTTTCTTGCATAGAATTTTTTTCAATAAAAATCTCGCCCCAGCTACTAAGAAAGGACTCTGAAAAATCTACTTATATGTGTTTAGTGCAATTATGAAAATGCATGCAATCCCTTTGCTCAGAATGAAAATATTGAACATATTATTTCCGGTAGCTTTGTTAATTTTCAGCCAGAATACAAGGAATATGGATTTGGATCTCTGAAAACTTACAGTCACATGTTCTCCACAGGATTGATAATGATCATTTGATCACACTGTAACATCGCAAATTTCCCAAAACCTTGGACAATTCGATCATTAAATAACATGCAGGTGGTTTACAAAGCCTTAGTTGAGACATTACATAATAAACAGGTAGCTATTTTCTTACCATAAAAATGCAAGGACACATATAAATGCATATTATTTACAATTTTCCAATAATATTACAATATGTGTGTTTTGATGGCATGTGTTGACAATCTATACATCCCCTTAATATCATACGAAAAGAAATTCGTCAAACATTTAAGATAGCGTGTCACATAGATAAAGAAGGATATAAAGATAACGAACAGTATTCAATCTCAAAGTCTATAAAACAATACAAAACAAGAACAGAGCAAACACGGACCTCCGATACATTAGAGGTGGGATCAGTTGCTATGGAGGAGTGAGCATCCCCTGCTGACCGGTCACACCCGCCGTGTGTTCCCTGTCATTATCGTGAAATAACGGAAAAATCCGTCGTCAATTCAGTTTATAAATAATGGACTAACAATTGGTATGAAAAACGTCAGTCAGCATTTGACTCAATGATAAATTGTTTTTGCTGACAAGGTCATTGTATCGACCATAGAACTTACGAAATAATGACTTTAAACTAGACTGCTGATATCCTTGTTTCATCAACTTGCCTGTCAATTAATTTACCTCGTTTTAGAAATTGTTCACACGTAGAGCATGCTCTTGCGTATCGACTGAGATATATACACTCCATATGCAGGTGATGAAGGTATATTGCTACATAAGTAAGGGAAGTTGACGATAGAAATGTTAAAGTCGTCAAGTTTATCATATAAATTGGATGTTAGGTAACCATTAACGTCTTTTTCAAGAAAAATATCCAAAAATGAAACAGATGTGTCAGACTCTGTGGTATCTTTTATCTCAAGCTCTTCTGGATATATCGTATCGACGTAGGAATGGAAATTACCATTGTTAATTGACAATGCGTCGTCGATATATCTAAAGGTCGAGTTGAAGGCCACAGCAAGTGTTTTCTTCTTTTGACACATAAGATTTTTCATAAATTTTGCTTCATAAGAATACAAAAATAAGTCTGCTAATAATGGAGCGCAATTGGTTCCCATGGGAATTCCAATAGATTGTTGGAATACCTGGTCTCCAAAAAAATATAGGTAACCATGACCATCTCTTTTCTGATTTTTTAAAAAATTTAAATTAGTAATTTTGGCTTAAAATATCATACACTTGGCAAATAAATTGTGATAAATTAAAAAAGAAATTCTGAAAATTGAGATAAAGCCCAATTCCCTCAATAAACAATATGTAAAAAAATCAGATATTTATTATGATGGTTCTTCAACGTGTTTAATCCAGTTACATTGATGATAAAAGTTTGAAACAACCTTATGCTTCAACACAAACTGCATTACTGTATTATTCTAGCACTTCAACATTCATTTTGCATCAAAGTCTATGATTCATTGCTGATTAAGTTATTTAATGATTGTTTATGATTTTTTAAAGATTTATCACTATTCGTTAAATTCACCTTTAAAGTGAATGCTTTTAATAATTAATTAGGTTTTCTAAGTATATTTATTTATTGGTCATTACCGCATATACGCCTTTGTATTTTATAACTAGAGGTACTGTGAGGAATGAGCTCACTAAATGATACCCCCGCCTCCCATATGAATATAATGGCAGTGTTCATGTTTTGCTCTGGAAAATCCAAAATATATGTCAGATCAAAAAGTAAAATAGGAGGTGCACAATGGCAACATGTAATGAAGATTCTGTGAAAGTTTCATTAAATTTCCTTCAGTGGTATGAGAGGAGTTGCGGATAAGAGATGGGTACCACAAAGCGTAACATACGGACGGACGGACGTACAGACGGACGGACGGAAATATCGATTAGTATATACCCTCCCACTTTTCAAGCGGGGGGTATAATTAAGCATGTTTAGT